AAACAGTAGATAAGAAATAATGTCTACATAACTAATGCTTGCATTACTAACTCATGCAATCATGCATTACTAATCCATGCGCTATTAATACACCTTATTCCGCACTATTCTTATAGACCCTACCAAACGATCCCTTAATGTACAATAGTAATGTTGGCTATTAGATTGTTACACATGTGCATAGTAACGTGAGGTTGTTTTCCTATGTTCAATATTTAATTATTCAAGGATTTTGATCAATTATAAATAAGACGTAAAGTCAGTCAAAAACTTTTTAAAATACCAAAAAAAATAAAAAAAAATTCGATACCCAACATATGCAATAAGTGTGAGTTATTTCTCATCAGATGGACCAGCTATATTAATAAGACTTATCTTTTTTCAGGAGGCGCAGATGATAAATCCTCAGTAAATGTATATTGTGTCTACCCAATTTAAGTGTTTCAAAAACCTCACTAATGCTCAGTAATGAATTAGATAATAATAATTAATAACCTTTTAAAATCGAATAGCAAGAAATTTCAAAAAAATTCATAACACCAATATGTTTGTCTTTCTATTTTACTTAATTTATCCTCGTTCAGTGAAAAAAATCAAAATGTTTTATGATGTTTTCTTTTTTTCTTTTCAACAACTTTGTATTTCTATTTTATTGGTAAGGTGGTAAATTTAATCTTTAAATTCATATCGAATTTAAATGTGTTAATATTTAGTTTTACTTTTAGTTTGACTAGACACAAGATTTAAGAATAAAAAATTTAAATCTTACTGTCTTAAATATAACATGTGAAATGTTGAAGTTAAATTACTACTACTAAATGTAGAATGTTATAAAACAATAAAAGAAAAAGAAGAGTATTGCAGAGAAAAGTAGAGGGAGAGAATTCTTATTGATTTGGGATGAATTACAATGGAATAGAACCCTCTATTTATAGGGAGAGGGTGACTTAGCCACCATGCAATGAACCCTAGAATCTCTCTAAATATACACATTCACCATAAATACAATTCTATTTATAACACTCCCCCTTGAATGTCTATTCAACAGATAATGTGCCTCGTTAAAACCTTAACTAAAATAAAACCCAGTGGGAAAAAAATTCTAGAGAAGGAAAAAGAGTACACATATCTAACAATACGCCTATTGGTTGCCTCGTTAAAAACCTTGCAAGGAAAACCCAGTGGGACAAAACCTTATAAGGGAAAAAGAGTACAACGCGTATTAACTCCCCCTGATGAGAGCATCAATTCACACCCTTAAGCATTTGCATTCCAATCTTGTGCACCATCTTCAAAAGATAATTGGTAGATATTTGATAAACAATATCAGCCATATTAACTTCAACGAATTTGTTTCACCTTGAAATCATCATCCTTGATAGATGTATTGTCTTCAAATGATCTTGTTGGAATCATCATTTTGAATATCTTCACATAGGGGTAGAAACTTTTGCTATCATATTATCATGCTTATAGTTATAGCAAGATACATATGTGCACAAATTGCATTTAGGATATAGTACTTCATGACCATGAATTCTATATGCTTTAAGCAATTTAAATCCTTCAAGGATTTTTAAGTCATATAAGCCAAATAAATAGACTTTAGATGCATATCAAGTTTTCATGTCATACTAGACATATAAGATATCGAAAACTGATTGCACATATCATTGACTTTATACTTTCAAGCATTTGAACTGCAGGTCCAAAACAACATTTCTTTCATATGAAACCAATTCTAGTTGAATTGCGTCTCTTCTATTTGGCCAATATTTTTGTGTCTGTTTTCGACAATCTTAACATCTTCATCTATACTTAGCGCTATGATAGATGTCGTAGACAAACATTTTATATTAGTTTCAATATATTTTCATAATGACATAACATAGAGATCTCTTCATTCATATATTCAGGTACCTGAATCTCTCTTGAGATTCTATGAAGTGTTATGTCATGTGATCTTCTAGATCACTTGCCTCATTTATTATGATCATTTTGATCATTTGCTCATCTTCTTTCTCAAGAAGTTTATTTGAAACCGATTTGTCTATATGCTTTAAGCGTACTATAGACTTTGTCCTTCTAGGACTTATTCTAATAGGAGCATTTGCAATGAGAATATAGTTACTTTCTTTGGGTCAGCAAATGCGTCTGGCATGCTTTGCAATAAATTGCACATGAATTATCCTTTTATGAACTTCAAGTTCATATTATTTTATTCGGGGATCTAGATGTATAAATGATAATTCATTCCATGTAACTTTTTCTCAACTGTTGTATCTTGTCTCCCCCTCATGTTAGAAAAACTAACTTGTTTCCTCAACTTTGAGAACTCATCTTTGTGCGTTATGGTGTTAATCAAAATATACACCGCACATCAATAATAATGAGATATAATTATTTGGTTCCTAACCCTGAAACCACTTGTGAGGGGAGAATGTAATATACTTTCGTATATAACCTATATCAAACTGATATAGATAACTTTGTTCTCATAAGCAATAGTTTAGCTATTAAGTGGAGGCACTCAATAAATTCTTTTGCTAAACCAACTGTGATGTAAACCAACTTATCAAGATGATATCTTGAATAAAAAATCTGGAAATCATGCTCTAAATCAAATTATTGAGCAAGTTACCTCGCAAATACCATGTTGCGGATTAATAATAATCGCACATGTAACCATCTCATAGATGCATCTTATGTGGTATACATGGCAGGTGAACGGGCCCATATTCACCTTTGATATTTTCAGCATTCATGGGATTCAATTCCAATTTTAGTTGGTATATTAATTAATGAGAACATGCAGTATAAGAGAATTCGTAAAGAACTTTCTAGTTCTTTAATATTTACCAATGTGAATTCTCTATTATTTTTGCACATCATACTTAAATTGATATGGCTAAACCAATTAAGCCAACTGAATAAATTATTAATATTGATAAACTTTAGGTTTACACCATGATGTGTGCAATTATGAATAAACTCCAAGTTTATTATGATATGGGTTTTTATATCAATAAATATCCACTTCATTGTGCTATTCTTTTATTTGTGTAGTACAAACTGGAGAATAAAGCGGGTAGCTTTTCACATACATATTACCCCGCTACAAGTTGTAGTAATAGAAGATATTAAATCTTTCCTTTATTTATAGTCTCAGTATGACCAACCGCTTTCGCGAATACTTTAAAAACTGAATAAGTTTCTTTGGGACTTACTACAATACAATACCTTATTGATAATCAATTGTGTTTCTCCAAAATAGTAATAATTGGCTCTTCCAGAGCTCTCAAATTAATTTTGTACTACCACATATTCATCAACATCATATGGTGAATATCTCTTTTAAAGAGAAAGTTATACCATTATGGTTATGGTCAAAATTATATGCAAGATCTGTTTCTTGCATTACCGTTGTCTTTTAACAATCACAATGCCAAAATATTTTGGCGTACAATAGATACGTGACCAATGACCATTCATGCCATAATAATGACATTATTTTCTTATATCATCTCAAACCTCCTTTTAGAGGTGAGTGCGGTATATTTACTACCACTATTACGTTCATATTCTTTGAAGAATGAATATGTATTTATAAATCAGATGTTGTCACATTCGCATCATGAACGGACCATAATCATCTATATGTGCTTTATAAAATCTCATGTCAAATCGATGACAAATATTTTCACAAGTGGGGGATTATTTTGAGAATCCTTATTATTCTCATTATCACAATGATGACGGTTATAATTTCATCTATTGCCACGTCCACATCCATTGATACATTCATAGTGATAATTTTGTCTTCTTTCAGACTTATCACATACTGCTATCACATTCTCTTAAGGGAATGAGAATGGAGCAAATTCAATGGGACGGGTTTTCACTTTTTGTGCCCATAATCATACATGAATTTGATCATGGCAAGACATAGAAATTTTTACCACTTCAGGTGGTTATAATTTCTTACAAACTCCATTAGAGTTATAATCAAACTTTGTTGTCTTTGCTTGTATATAACATCAAATTATAGAATTTCAAGAATTTAAAAGAGAAAAATAAAGTAAAATACTTACCTTAAATCCAAAATTTAATCATGAAGGAAGTTTATGGAACAATTGACAATCATTATGCTCAATCCCAAAGCTTCTACTCAATTGGTTAGAGTCTCGTGCTGATAACGTGTTATAAAACAATAAAAGAAGAAGAAGAGTATTGCAGAGAAAAGTAGAGGGAGAGAATTCTTATTGATTTGGGATGAATTACAGTAGAATAGAACCCTCTATTTATAGGGAGAGAGTGACTTAGCCACCCAGCAATGAACCCTAGAATCTCTCTAAATATAGACATTCACCATAAATATAATTCTATTTATAACATAGAAAAAAATATTATTTTTTAAACAGACTAAAAAATAGTCAGTGTATTAATTAAAGTGGAGGGAGTACCTTTTTTCTAGGGAGGTTGATGAAGTGCAAGGTAACATCTTAAATTTCGGGATTAAATTTAATATAAGTATTTTGTTGGTTGGGATAAAATTATGGTATAACTAATATCGAAATTACTTATTCTGGAATTATAGTAATTTTTATTCCTATAGGAGGATGTGATAACTAATTCCGAAATAATTAATCCTGAGATAACTTTTTCCCGACCAAACAACCCAAAAGTAAATGTCAGTAATATTTACAAAACTAACCTTTTTCAGTTTCTTTTTCCTCTCAAGCTGTGGATGCTTTTATTTTCTGATGTATTAATACTTAATAATTAATGGTGTCAGCTTCATGAGTTGTTATTATTATTAAAAACAAATCAAGAAACCTCAGAAGCATCTAATCATTATCTACCGGATAAATAAAATACTAGTCAGATAATCACAAATTACAAGTGCGGGGTCCACTTACACCCCAAGTGGGACCCATAACCAGCTGGTCTTTTTTTTTTTTTTTTTTTTAAATGCTCTCTCATTCATGGTTGAAATTTTCCACTCTTCTTCATCAAGATCTAATTTTTATCACACTAAAGTAAGAGGGGTCCAACACTTTACTAATCTTTTTTTGTTACTGTGTACAAAATAGAAATATATTGTGAGATAAAGCTACATTCTTTGAAATAAAGAAGAACAAATTAAGATATTTTTCTGAGATCTGAAGAAGCTCCATTTTTTTCACAGGGTAATTCCTCATACTTCAGATCTTTCTTTTACTTCCAATTCAGACAAAATATGTATTTATTTTCCTGTACAATTGTCATTTTCTTTAATGTCTTTATTTTGGTGGGCTGTAGTTGTTGTGTATATTTTCATTATCTTCCATGATTCTTCTTACTATATTTAGAACTGTAATATAGTGAATTGGATTAGTAGTTCTGTTATTCTGTTTTTAGTTGCTGAGAATCTATTGAGATAAAGAGCCAATTGTGATCTATTAAAGAAATTTTTGACCACTGTGGGACTAAGTATTCAGAATTATTCTTGATTTTTATTTGAGGATGATTAGACATGCCTGTTTAATTCATAGATCTTTCAGTTGTTGCATTCTTTTAATTAATATATTCAGATATTCTTAGGTTATTTCCTCACTTTTCTACCGTTTTTAGAACACGTATGTATGGAAAGTAGATACTCCTATACATTTGTGTACAATTGTGAGCTTAAGTCAAGTGGATTTAGCTTCCTCTTAATTATGTGAGTTTTGTGGATGAATCTTTCAGTGAAAGGTTGATTCAGCCGCGTAATGTGCTTTGTTTTGTCTTTTAGATAGGGAAAATTGAGGAATAAATTGAAAATGGGGAAGAAAGGAAGCTGGTTTTCTTCAGTAAAGAAGGCTCTGAGCCCAGATCCTAAGGTAAGAACGCGAACAAGGTTTTGTGGAGTAGCTATATCGAGTTTTTTTAGTATGATGTAAGGCATTTTTTCCTCATTTAACAGTGACTAACGGTTCTTGAGTTTAATTTCAGAAAGGAAGTAAATCAAAGAAGAAATGGTTTGGGAAAGAAAAGGATCCGGTTCCAGATTCTTCATCCCTAGTCGCTTCCTCAGTGTCTCCTCCTCGTCCAGTTCCTACAGTAGAAGAGGTCACACTGGTTGAAGTAGAAGAGGAGCAGACAAAACATCCATATTCTGTTGCAGCTTCCACTTCTGCAGCTCCTGAAGCTTCTGCTGCAGCTAACCAGGTTGCTGTGGAGGTTGTTCCGTTAACTAAAGTGACTAAGTTTGCAGGCAAATCAAAGGAGGAAGCAGCTACAATCAGGATTCAGACTGCATTTCGAGGATATCTGGTATGCTTTTGTACATTCTCATATTCATTTTTCTTTTCAGCTAGTTTACCACAGCTTGATGCTTTTCCTTATTAGCTCGGTAAAGCTAGTAATAAATGGTTTGATACTAAGATGGAACTTGTTATCGGGGTTTATTATCTTCAGGCTAGGAGAGCGTTGAGGGCGTTAAGAGGACTTGTTAGACTCAAATCACTTGCTGATGGACCTACTGCAGAACGGCAAACTGCCCATACTCTAAAATGCATGCAAATGCTTTCCCGTGTGCAATCTCAGATTAGTTCCAGAAGGATCAGGATGTTGGAAGAGAACCGAGCTCTCCAGAGGCAGCTTATGCAGAAACATGCAAAAGAACTCGAGAGTTTGAGGGTAAGTTTTCTTCCTTTGTTCCATCTCTTTTTTTCTTGAAAAAAGAGATATTACTGCTGGAACATTGGAGCTTGATCCTCATTAGGTATCGATAACCTGAGATGAATCTGTCTCTCGAGAGAACTAGAATGCGAAGCAATTAGTGCTTAGTGTTTTTAATAAAGTTCATTAGGAAATTTTATATTCTAATAAGGAAACTTTGACTCCAAAAAATTCTGCAATGGAACTTGATATCTACACTTGACCATCGAATAATTACTCACTGTTTGCAGATTTGACAGTTTTAAAAGTTATGCACCTGATCTGTTTTGTTTCAATTTTGGGTAACAATTGTTCTTGGTTGAACTTTGTCTGTGCATTTCTGTACATTCTTTTCTACACCAATATTTTGTTTCTTTCTGAACTGCCCGGCATCCTATAGCATTCTATATGTTGTCAGCCAAATTGTTTTTATATTTTGTTTCTTTTTTCTGTATGATTACTGTGCATCTATATCTGTATAATAGGAAGTTTCGAAATGGATTTTTTGCTTTTTGTCTAATAGCAATTCTTGTTTCTTTTGATAGAGAGGGGAGGAATGGGACGACACTGTGCAATCAAAAGAACAGGTCGAAGCAAGCTTACTCAAGAAATATGAAGCTGCAGTGAGACGTGAAAGAGCACTAGCTTATTCATATTCACATCAGGTAATTAGCTCTTTTCTTTTACGCAAAATGATCAGCATTTGGAAAGAGTGCAGTCGATGCATATGGGTACATGACGGAGAATGTGAAGGGTTAGGATGTATGTAGCTTCCTAGTCTCATCTGCTTTCGTTTTCCCTATTAAATATTAAATAGTGCATTACTTCAGCAGAATGACTTTAGCATGCATTTAATTTATAATTTCACAGCTAGTTAGAAGACTCTCATAAGGTAGGGGTAAGGTCTGCGTACACACTACCCTTCACAGACCCCACTTGTGGGATTTCACTGGGTTTGTTGTTGTTATTCACGGTTAGTTAGAAGATTTTTAGTATTGCTCGTGACAAAAACTTTGACTGGACAGAAAACCTGGAAGAAGTCATCAAAATCTCCCAACTTGTTGTTTATGGATCCAACCAATCCTCAGTGGGGTTGGAGCTGGTTAGATCGGTGGATGGGCGCGAAGGAACTCAAAAATGATCAAATGTCCATTAGAAGTGCCAGTATGAGTGTTGCCGGAGGAGAAATTACCAAGGCATTTGCTCGGCATCAGCTGAATTCAGAACTCCCTTCTTCTCCGTCCAGCCAAAAGCAAGGTCACCAATCTCCTACAACCCCTTTCAAGACAGCCAATTTAGTCGCAGCCAGAAAATTAAAATCGGCAAGAGTAGCTGCAATAAGTCAAGATGATGATGCACGAAGCATGATCAGTGTTCAATCAGAACGTAACAGGAGGCATAGCATCGGGGTATCATCTATAAGAGATGACGAGAGCTTGGCAAGCTCTTCCTCTGTACCAAGTTATATGATACCTACTAAATCAGCAAAAGCAAAAACACGGTTGCAAAACCCTTTAGGCATGGAGAATGGTACACCAGAAAAGGGATCAGCAGGGTCTGTCAAGAAACGGCTCTCTTACCCGCCTTCACCGGCCAGACCAAGACGGCACTCAGGCCCACCAAAGTTTGAGAATACATCCCTAAACACGTCCATTGCTGAGGATAACGTGAACGAGGTCATCAACTAATAACTCTTGCCACAAGTAAGAAGCTATCCTATTGCCCTACTACATGAGCTAAATGCAGATAAGAAATAAAGATCAAAGGGGAATCACCTTCTCCATAAAATTCTTATTAATTTGTCGTTGTATTTGGGCTTACCTTGGATGGTTCTTGCTCTTATATATTTCTTTTCTTCCACAGTTGTTGATAAGGTGAGGTTGTGATAATAGTGAATCATTCTAAAGAAAACAATTTCCTTTGGTTGTGATTATATATGCAGTATGATTGTTTCCTTCTTATGTACCCACATAGTGAAAAGATTATTTATTTATTCAGTTAAATATTCATTATTTTCTGTCTCTAGATCAATTAGTATTTGCCTCCTTAAATTCTGGGGATGGTTGACAAACAGATAGCCTTAAACCTTAATGTCAATCATAACAAGTACGTGTCTTCGCGGGGTAAGTTTGAACAACAAGCAACTGCAGAAAACATCTGCATTTCTGGAGATCAGATGCTGTTTTATGAAGAAAGGAGCTTGAGTAGAAATGAAGTTTATGCAAATGGAAATGAGTTCTGAATTGGTGTAAATTACATATGAATTGGAAATCATGATAATTGACATAATGATTTGGGGAACTTCATAAATTCTTAGCTCAAAGAATGAATGGATGCAGAGGGGAGACAGCTTTTGAAAGGGAAACAATATATCAAAGTTAAGCCATGTGTTCGCTTTTAGGGAGGGGGGGAGGGGGGGGGGGGGTTAATTTCGTGAAATAGTTAAATTTACAACTGATAATTGAAAAATAGCCACAGTTTCAAAAGTGATCGAAATTTAGCCACGTTTTCATGTAAAGATAAAATCTGAATAAAAATACTCTTAAAAATCCAGAAAAATTCTAGCATAATATGCTGGAATTCGAATTTTTTACATATGAGATTCCGCATAATGTGTTGGAGTTCTAACATAATATGCTGAAAGTTTATATGCAAGAGCTCCATAATCCAGCATATTATGCTTTAACTTTCTGTGTGCTGGAGTTCCAACATAATATGCTTGAAGTTTATGCGCAAGAGCTCTATAATCCAGCATATTCTGCTTGAACTTTCCATGTTTCAGAAAAATAATTGTTATTTTCAATTACTTTGCAAACGCTGGCTATTTTTTAATTACCGGTCTGAAAACTGGCTAGCTCGTGCTATTTTAATCTTTTACAAATAGCCAACAACTATGAATCCACTAATCTAATGAACTAAACCAATGTACCAAGTATTCTAAACTATAGTCAATATGTACAGTCAATACGTACTTCCAAACAACCCCTACAACCCGCTCCCAAGTTGGAGTATGAACCACAAAGGCACGGTGACCGGTAGAAAAATCGAATTAAATCGAAAAATTGTATTAATCCGACTTAATAATTTAATATTTATTAAATTTGGTTTGTTTGAATAAAAATATATATCAAATCGACATATAAATATATTCATTCTTCTAAAAATTTAAGAGTGTATATAATTTCTCTTTTAAAAAGTAGTCTAAAAGTATTGGTATCTTTACTTGAAACATATTACTTAATATGACTGTTATAGACTCTTCGTTCTTTCATTTTCACAAGCTAATATTTATTAACTCATATATCCTTTTTAAACAACAATTCCAAAGCTGAAACAAGACATATACTAATTATTTAAATTTCATATTTGTTAAGTGATAATAGGTGAATTAGACTATTAGGCCCTAAAGAACCACATTTTTGTATAGCTTTATGGTAAAAAGTGATAACCAAATGCTCTGATTAGTGCTTTTTCATGCTTTGCAGGCTATATCCAATGAAAAAAGTATGTGGAGTACTTTTGGGATCACTTATGGAGAAAAGGAGGCTAATCATATAATACCCACAAAGTGCACCAAGCGAAGGGACAAAACCAGAACTGAAGCTGGCCTGCCGCTGTCCGGGCGTAACCGCGGTAGGACCGCGGCAGAACATTGCTGCAGATTCAGAGGACCATTCTAGCCGCGGTCCTGGCGTAACCGCGGTGGGACCGCGGCAGGACGCAGAAACTTCAGGGACCAAAGTGTCAAGTCGGGAAAATTTGGTGTAAAACCCTTATAAGATGTAGAAATTTGGCCACATTAGGGCAGACTTGTTTTGGAGAATACTTTTGCAAGATACACAAGTGTGAGAAATCACCCAAAAACATCATAGTTCTTTATCTCTTCTTTTTCTTGCTATTTTCGATTAAGAATATTTTCGTAGTTTATCCTTACGTTGTTATGAGTAGCTAAATACTTTAGTCTAAGGTTTTGATGGAACCTATTGAAGGATGAACTTCTTGATTATGTTAATATAGTTTGCCAGTTAATCTCTATTTGTTCAACTACGTGTTTGTTGTAGTTAATTGACAGGATCCTCAATTAGTTGTGCCTATTTAGTGTGCATAACTCGGAAGAGAGTGCATATTTAGGTAATTGTTGAACAACACCACTCCCAAAGTATAAGAGGGATCTATAACTGCAGGTTTAAAGGCGGGATTAGGGATAACGAAGCCTTGGGTGCGATCTAAAGTGAGCTGTAATAAACAAAGTCAGCTAGCGTATCTCGGGAGAGTGCGTCTAGTAAATTATCGCGATTACTCGGGAGAGATTTACGGTAAAAAGAGTGCTCATGATTGATAGAGATGGTTTGGTGAATCTATATGAAACATAACCGGAAGGGATTCCATCAATAGGGGAAATCGCTACCTTAGAACCTTCTCATTATTGTTTTCAACCCAAGCATATTTAGTTTACAGCTGTTTATTTACTTTCAGTCTTAGTTATTAGAAATACCATCAACTATTGTTTACAACGTTTGGGGAAGTTGATTATAAAGAATTTAGTAAATCCAACAAAAGTAATTGATAGGTTAATTCTCTGTGGATTCGACTCTGGGCTTGTATACCGGGTTATATTTGCAACGTCCGCGTGTCCTTTTATAAGGCATAGTTGGGCGTGATCAAATTTTGGCGTCGTTGCCGGGGAATTAACGGTGTTATCAATTACAATTGAAAGAAGTACAAAAATTCTTAGTGTAGTCAGTTTTCTCTATACCCAATTTTTACATTGAAATTTTAACGTTTGTTGACTTGGTTGCACAGGTGCATGCCTAGAAACTCATCGAGATCTTGTGAAGTATTAGAAGCATTATCAGATCCCGAGAAATTTTTCAGGGCTTTGAATCGGGCCAACCGGCAAAACAAACAACAACCAACAACTGCACAATTCGAAACAATCATGAGAGATAACCAGGAAAACCCAGCAGTACCAATAGCGCCAGCGCCAGAGGCTGCTCTCTATGACTGGGCACAACCCACAGCTGAGAATCTATCCACAACGATAGTAGTCCCGCAGATACAGGCTGAGTCATTCCAAATCACAAATAACATGCTGCACTTTTTACAGAATAAGGGACTATTTTCGGGGTCACAAGTTGAAGATCCTCAGCAGCACTTGAAGAATTTCTTGTCTATCTACAAAACCCAAAGGCAACCCAATGTAACTCCGGAAGCAATCAAGTTGTTATTGTTTCCATTCTCAGTGA